CCGTCCGCCGGGGCGAGACCGTCTAATCATAACATTTGTTTTCTTAATTTCATTCTCGTACTCACCTCTTCCGAGCGCTGATATCCACACCGAAGGCGTCATAATCACGTCACGGGGGCCGGTCCGGCGCGGGGGCGGGGCGGGGGCGGGGTGGGGGCGGGGTGGCCCCCAAATCAAGGCGAGCACGCTTAGATTATCTGGATCGGGAGGGAACAAAACAGGTGCGGGAGGAGGGAGGGGGGTTATGGAGAAGCGAACGCTATTAGAACATGTCGAGCGCAGGATTGGTGACTGGTGGCCCCTGTGCCAGAGTGCCAGCCCCCGCGGGGGCCACGCCGGCCATGCTTGCTCGGGCGCCTCGACCCTGCATCCCCACGGTGCCCCACGGCCCCGGCGCCCCGACGGCCAGGCAGGCAGGCAGCCAGCGCGCTGCCACCGCCGCTAATAAGTAATTAGTCTAATTTATCGGGGGCCTGAGCGAGCAGCGCGGCCAGCGGCGGGGACGGGATGGACGGGACGGGGACGCCGAGTGAGCAGCCGAGCCCCCCTCGGAGTGGGAAGAGAGCGGGCCGCGGACACGGGGAGCGACAGCGCAGCGCGCAGCCAGGCTTTCGCAAATGAAGCTGTTTCGTCGGTTCGCGCTGCCGCACCCCGCCCCCGGTGCTGGGTGTCTTCTCTTGTACCCCTGCGACCGTCGCGCCGCGTGCCGCTAGGCGCGAACCTGCGGCGCCACCAGCGCCACCTATGCAGCGCGCGCCCCAAGACACTGCACGGTAATAACTCGTTGCAGCGATCATGATGCACATGGCGCCGTTAGGCACGCAACGGCGCCGAGGGTGCGACAAAGGCGGGGCGGGGCGGGGCGGGGCGGGGCGGGGCGGGGCGGGGCGGGGCGTGCGGACGCCGCATTCCATCGCCCTTCCCCGACGCGGCGCGCGAGGCTCGGCCGAGTCTCGAGCGAGGCGCGGGATAATTTGGACGGAACTTGCACATCACTCGCCTCGGCGGAGTCCGACTTAACATTGCGGGCGTGGCGTGGCGTGGCGGGGCGGGGCGTTGCCGAGGGGGAGCTGCGCGGGGCTTGCGGCCACAATGGACACTTGCCAACGCGGCCCCCCTGGTGCCGGCGCGGTCCACGCCACCGTCCACGCCACGGTCCACGCCACCGTCCACGCCACCGTCCACGCCACCGTCCACGCCACGGTCCACGCCACCGTCCACGCCACCGTCCACGCCGCGCCGCAGCGCGCCGCCACGAGATAACGTAATTGCGCTTACAAACAACTCGCGGAGGCATGCCAAGCGACGCCCCGCCACGCCCCGCCACGCCCCGCCACGCCCCGCCACGCCAAGGAGGACCAACAAGGCGGAGCGGCGAGGAGCGCCGCGCTCTCATTACACTCATTATGACCATCAAGTGAGAACCACTCCACCGATTCATTGACGCCAAAAGAGAGGGGCAAGGAAGGGGGTGGAGTTTTCACCCGGTGAAGGGGGCTGCTGGTGGCACGAGCGCACCATGACGGCTCTGAAGCAGCGCGCTGGACTCTCCTCCACAGCCCAAGGGCATTTCTTCTCAGGTTTCATCTGGCCCCGCAGTAGTTGACGCACCTCCAAAGCTGGACAACCCTCGCCGATTGCAGGAGGACAAACGACCCCGACGCGTTCCAGAGTGTCTCACGCGTCGTGCCTGCAGGTTGTCTGCCTTCACGTGGCCGGTGCGGCCCGGCCCCGGCCCGCCGCCCGGCCCAGGCGCCTTCATGACGCCCTCATAACTCGGGACATGATGACCCCGTAGCAATAACAGTGCCATAAAAAGGTGAAAAAACAAATTAAGGGCCGGCAGAGCCCTTTAAGGGCCGGCCGCACCCATTCTCCACCCTTTCCCTCGGCCGGGCCGGCCGGCCGGGCTGTGGGCGGGACGAACACACGCATTTACACAGCGCACCGAGCCCAGCCTCTCCGAGAGTCGTTTTCGTCGCTCTGCCTCCCTCGCACCTGTGCCGGACGCCGCGCGAGTGCGAGGGGGACAGAGCGAAAGCCGTTTTAATTGCCGCGTTTAACGGCAGGAGGCGATCTTATTAGCGATTGAGACGCAAGCGCCAGCGCGGCCAGGGCAGCGCCGGCCAGCGCCACGTCCAAGACGTTTACGAGGCAAACGAGAGGCGCGCCAACCCGATGCGCGCACACCGACGTGAACACACACACACACACACACACACACACACACACACACACACACTAACGCAGTAGTGGCACCACCTCGCGGACTGATGAAAAAGAATGCGAGAAATGTTTCTATTGGCGTCTTTCTCTCCGTCCGCGCGGTATGGACGCTGTGTCGCCCTCGGAAATGGATGTCCTCTCGGAAGGTGTGACAGCGAGCGAGTTATTTATACAGCATTTTTGTGGGGCTCGGCCGGGCAGCGCGGCCAGGCTTCGGCAGAGGGCAGGCAGAGAGATAAGCGTGATTGGAAATGGACGCGCAGGGAATGCCGCTCGACCCCGTTGGACCGTCCGGAGGCACACCATCGCACCACGGCCAGATGATCGCAGCAAAGTGTGAATAAGCAGTGGCGTGCACCGCGTGCGAGGGGCGGCTTGGGTCGGGGTTCGACTCCCCCCGCCGCGCTTTTCTCTTTTCGCGTTTTTCCCCCGCGGAGTGCGGCGCTCGTCGTATCGGCCCTTCGCTGCCCCTCGGCCCGGTTCTAGGCCCGGTCGGCCGCCCCGTCCCTCGGGGAGTCCCTCAGGGAACGCTTTATAAACGTCAACGCCGTGCTATGCCGGGCTATGCGCAGGGAGCGAATTGAAAAGAGCGGGGAGGCCGGGGATGGGATGAATTGGCTGCCATCAGGGTGGGAGGGCGTTATTTCCAGACAGAGGGGGCCACCTCGGAACCACACTGTTTCGAGCCTTTCCACACTGTTTTCGCGGCGTTCGAGCTGCAGCAGGAGGGTGAGTGTCGGGGCGATGACGCGATCCAGGACTCCGCCACTGCGTTGCGGGCCGCGCCTCCCCTGCCGTCGGCTGCCATCCCTCCCCCGGCCGCTAGCGCGCGCTGCGCTGCCACTGCCGCCATCTACCGACCTTTTACCGTAACAGCAGTCGAGATCGTCCTCTCCTCACCTGTCTCGCGCTGATTTACGTTTCGCTTTTGGATACAAACGATGTCGGTGCCTGAATATTTTCCCCTGCCCTCGCTGCTTCCCTCATTCCCTCGCCTGGCTGGCTGGGCCGGCCGCTGGCAGGGCTCGGCGCGCGGCGCGGCGCGGGGACAGCTTCAGTTCATCTTGTTTGGAAACCTGTCGATCCGAAGCCCCGCAGCCGGAGGCAGCCAGTGGCAGTGGCTTCGAGCCACCCGTCCAGCCGTCCAGTCAGGCCTGTCCCCGCCATCCCAATTAGACGTGACACAAAGTCGGTCATAAATTTGGACCGCGTTCGGTTCCGCCGCCGTGCCGCCGCCGTCTCTTCGCAGCGTTCGCACCTGCCGGCCCGCCGCAGGCCGTGCGCGCGGTCACCGCGAGCGTCTAGAGAAAGCATCCGCGTCGAATCTAGAGCGAATCTAGAGTGATGCGTCCTTCGGACAGTCCTCGAACGCGAGCGCGCGGCATCTCAGACGGCACGCAGACGGCGTCCACGTCGCCCGCAGGCAGGCAACCCATTCGACACCCGTCGTCCGGTAGCGCAGCGGCAAAGGGTATTCGCGCGACTGCTCGGAGTATCGCCGCGTGCCCAGCGATGGGGTATCGACGGTCGAGTACGGCTGGCGGACCTCTGCGCGTGGGGTATCTGCTGCGCGCGCCGGTGCACTGCACTCGAGACTCCATGAAGCTGGCCAGCTGGCTGGGCCTCCTGGCTCGCCATCGCGTGACGCGTGACTCACAGCGTCTTTGTCGCTGACGGCGACGGCGCGTCCGTGTCAGTCACGCGCATCACGTGACCCGTGGACTTGGTGGACTTGGCTCGACCGCCACGCCGGACAATCGCACTGCGGAAACAGTGTTGAGGCGGAGCTGGCGGAGTCATTCCCTCCGAGGGAAATTTTAAGACTTTCTCTCCAGTTGGAAATCGTCGGAAAGCCGATGACACGGCTGATTGTGTGACAAAGTAGGCTGATATCGCTGTCACGTACCGTACCGATCCTCGCACTCAGAGATACCGACGCAAGAGGAGCGACAGGGCAAACTCGTGATTCCTCGTCGAACACAACAAAAATCAATAATTGGGGGAAGTGGGGAATGACGCAACCGTCACTTTACTCTCATAACGGAAAAGAGTCCAGACCTTCATGCAGTAGTTCCGTCACCTGACTGAAAGGGGCTTGAAAAGGGATAATTGAAAAAAAAAAAAAACGACCCTGACACTGTTATTTTTTTTTTGCTGAGGAAAAATATTTGGGAGGGCTGGGACGACGTGAACGGCGGAGAAGATCTTTGCTGTACAGTGGAACAGGGGCAACTGACCCCACCAATGTCACCTCTATCTTTTTCTGGATTCGAGTCAATCGTCTTGAATTCTTCCAGCCGAGCCAGGGGCGTGCTGCAGCCAGCCCCTGTCTTCGCCGGCAGCACACTGTTCGGAGGTTCGGAATCGGCCTGCTGGAGGGAAGGCTCGACAGCCGGGGGAAAGCCCAACGCCTGGAGCAAGCAGCCCCAGATTTATTTTTCTGTTGTATCTGTGTAAAGAGGTCTCGGGCGGCGGGCTGTTTTCCCCTTGTACAGTCGTGGAAGAATCTTGCTCCCAGCAACCGTCGGACGGCGGCGTTGCAAGTGGCTGAGAGTGTGTGGGTAGTGTGTGTGTGCGTGTGTGTGTTGGATTGGGTGTGTTCGGGGAGGGGCGTTGCGATCCTGACTCGTCGTCGTGGGGGCTTTAGATTAACCGGCTGCGTTCGAATCGCTGGGTCCCGTCCTGGTCCCGCCCCCGCCTCGCGTGTGACAGAGACGGAGACGTACCCACCAGCCGGTCACTTTCGGTCGCAGCCGTCCGCCACCGTCCGCCGGCCACTCCGCTAGTCACAGCTGTTGCTGTTGAGGTTGAGTACCGGCAGAACTCGTCGCAGTCGCTGGTCGCTCGGCTCCGTTCACGGACAGTGCAAGTGCAGGGTTCGCTGCGATCGAGCAGTTCGGGGCGACCCATCGAGCCGACATGGGGGACTCCCAGTTGCAGTAAGTATCAGCGCGGTTGGATCATCCGGCCGGCGCTCAGCGCAGAGGAGCACCTATGAATGAGTAGAAATGTGGGCAGTGCTGCGTTCTGTCTCCTCGACAAGTCTCTGGCGAGGTGTTGTGGGGATCCGTGGCTTTTCTTCAATGAGGTTTGTAGGCGTCGCCGCGTCGCCGCGTCCCGCAAGTCGTCCAACTCCGAGAACGCGGTGTGAGGTCGGTCGTCAGTGGCGAGCCGCTTTGCGAAGGCAACCGCATTCGGCGTAGTGCAAGTTCTTAGAGATGGGAAGCGGAGAGCGGCCAAGCTCATGACAGGCTTTGAATGCCGTATTCTCTAGCCGGAATCCACCGTTATTCGTGACGTGTCGAGGTTAGGCTCTTTGTTTATATCCCGAGGCCCGGGGCGCGAAATTTGAAAATTTCTGGGAAGAGAATAAATTTTGAATGCCAGAGACATTGATACCTGGAGACCCTCTTTGTTTCAATTGAAGTGTCTTAAATCGACTGTTTATTCATCTTTTATCTTTCTGTTGCAGTAAGCCCTGTGTGGCAAAAGTGGAGGAGAATTTACAATCTGCCGACTATGATGGTATCGTTCTCATTTCCCATCTGCCTCCGGGGCAGCAGCCTGCCCCCTTCGGGGCTGTTCTGGCTGATGCCGCCAAGGTACTAAACTTTTCCATTTATTTTTGTTCTATCTAGCCGTTTGTTTATTTTTTTTTTGTGATAATAAATATTTTTATGACTTTTTAGATTGACGAGTCTTTGATTAATGTTGGAGGTGTCTTCGGTGTCAATCTTCCGTCCAAGCGTTTTGTGTACGCCCCAACTGGAAATATTTGCCCTGACTATGATGATGTCAGAAGCTTTGCTGACGCAGCCAAGAAAGGTGTTTCAAGGTAAAGATAATTTTTCCCTACACCCGTTTCAGTTTTGTTTAGGTTCCAACTTTCCTAAAACATTTTTGCATGCTGTGTGCAGGGCCTTGAAAGCAGGAATCAAGTCTCCTCTTCTTGTAATTCCAACCTGTGAACAATTCAAACAAGTGGAACTGGTGACAGTACTTGGTGCTTTAGAAGAGCTGTATGTGGTAGGTTGTCTTGCTTTCTGTTGCTTGTGATCCAACTTGCATTTCTTGTGTTAATCATTTTTCTGCTCTCATTTAACAGCCTATTATGGTTCGAGAAGATGCTCCCAAGAAACTGGTGAAGCCCAAGACTCTGGGGGTCTACCTGGAAAATAAGACCCGCGCTAGCTCAACAGTGAAATTGGCCAATGCCATTGAAGCAGGAAGGTACAAAAATCTTGTCTCTTCGCCTGCTGTCTCATACAGACACCAGAAGGCATGTTCTAAGAATGTTTGCTTTTCAGGTTTGTGGCTCGAGACATTGGTGGTGGGGATCCGGAGCGAATGGCCCCTCCTCGAGTTGAAAAATATGTACTGGATGTATTTGGAGGCTCTGGTATCAAGATAGAAGTCCTTGCCGGCACTGAATTCTTTGAAAAGGAATATCCTCTCTTTGCTGCAGTGAATAGGGCAGCGAGTGGTATGTGAATGGGTTCATTGTTTTCTTGCTGGCATTCTGGAAGGAGACAGTGCTAAATTTAATTTTGTTTGTTTCAGTGATCGAACGCCACCAAGGCCGTATCATATATCTCACTTATGAGCCTCAAGATTTGAAAAATGTCAAAGAAACACTGATGTTTGTGGGTAAAGGTGTGACCTACGACACTGGTGGTGCTGATATCAAAGCTGGAGGTATTATGGCCGGTATGTCTCGTGATAAGTGTGGAGCCGCTGGTGTTGCTGGCTTTATGAAGGCAAGTTTTGCATGGAAATAAAAAATTGAAGAGAACTTTAAAATAGATCAAGGACAATATTGTAAACATTTCTTGCATTAACAGGTTGTTGCTGAACTTAAACCTCAGCACGTTAAAGTAGTGGCAGCTTTATGCATGGTGCGGAACAGTGTTGGTGAAAACTGTTATGTCTCTGATGAGGTTGTCATTGCTCGGTCTGGAGTTCGTGTACGTGTTGGAAACACGGATGCTGAAGGGCGTATGGCTATGGCAGATGCCTTGTGTAGAGTAAGTCAAAAGATAATTTTAACGTAATGTACTGTAAGAAGTTTCAGAATTGTTATTACAATGCTTTTAACTCTTGTAGATGAAGGAGCTGGCTTCTACCACTCCCAACTGTCCCAATCCGCACTTATTCACCATTGCAACTCTCACCGGTCATGCAGTTTTGGCTGTTGGGAATTATTCGGTAAGATAAGTAGATTCATTGGAGAAAATTGATTCTTTCTTAAGGTCCATCCCTAACTTTTGTGCACTTCTCAATTTAATTTTATAGATTTGCCAAGATAATGGACCTGCACGTGAAGACCAAAATTCACGCAAACTTCAAGATGCTGGTGCAGTGATTGGAGACCCCTTTGAAATCAGCACTATGAGGAGAGAGGACATTGCTTTCTACAAAGGTGACTTAAACATCTACCTGCTAACTGAAAGCTCATTTTAGGGTGCAGCGGATTGGTAAAGAGATTTTTGTTTCAGCCAAAAGCGCTGGAGATGACTTGCTGCAATGCACCAATACACCATCTTCCAGAACTCCTCGTGGGCACCAGTCACCTGGTGCATTCCTTCTCTTAGCTTCAGGGCTGGAAAAGGTAAATGTCTTATTGCTGTTATGTTATATATTTTTGGCTATCATGAAGCCATTATTAATTTGTCTTAAATTTTTGTAGCATGGTCTCACTGCCAAGCTGCCTGTGAAGTACTCTCACTTGGATATTGCTGCATCTGCTGGAGACTTGCCCCATGAACCAAGTGGTGCACCCATTGCTGCTCTTGTTGCACGTTTTATTCAAGAACTCAATTGAAAGTGAGCCCAGATCAACATCCTCCATAACTGGGGTTGATGATGAGAGGCTGGGATGTTTTAATCAAGAAATTTAAAGTTGTAAAATCTTCGATGTTTTTAAGATTGTATTTTTTTGAAATAAATAAATAAATCTATTCAATTTATGTCAAAACGATTTGCAACCTCTATTTCGTTTTTTTAAATTTCCCTTTCTGGGTTGAATTGCAGTAATTATTAGTAATGTTAATGATTCAAAATTTATTGATGAGTTACAAGCAATTACACATAAGAAACAACCTAAGGTACATACAGATTCTCTTTCACTGTGCATTAAGCGTGCTTTCTAGCTCACCACCTTCTTTCATCTCTTTGATTATGTCCAGACCACCAATAAGCTCCCCTTTGACATACACTTGAGGATAAGTTGGCCACTTCGAATATTCCTTCAACCCTTGACGGACTACTTCATCTTCCAAAATATCAAAAGTTTCAAAATCAACTCTGAAAATTAAGCAGACACAAATCAGTGCATGTGGTTTTTGAAGTAGACTCAAATCACACTTTACCATATACTTACCCTGTTCCCTTCAGAATCTCCATCAAAGTTCTACTGAAGCCACATTTGGGTTGACTGGGATTTCCCTTCATGAACACCATCACCTTGGCTTTATTTATGAGGCTCTTCAGTCTGAAAAGAAAAGTGAATATTGATTCAGTGGCATTTAACACGAATCGGTCTCAGTGTCTTCCATCACCAAATCAACCTCTGAGCACTCACCTCTCATCCAAAGACATCTTTTTGGGAAGCATACTTTCTAACTCACCACTATCTTGCATTTCCTTCACTATGTCTAATCCACCTATGAGCTCACCTTTAATATAAAGCTGCAAAAAATATTATGGCATATAAGCATTTTGTTGTTAATAATTCAAAAGAGTTAGAATACTCACAATTTGCAAGAAAGGAAAGTCTCTAGCCTACCTGAGGGTAAGTTGGCCACTTTGAATATTCTTTCAATCCTTGTCGCACATCTTCATTGTTTAAAATGTCAAAAGTTTTGTAATCAGCATTTAGAGAGTTCAAAAGTTCCACAATTGCTTTGCTAAACTTGCAGCGTGGTTCAATAGCAGAGCCTTTCATAAAAAGCATGACGGGTGCCCCATTAATTAAAGATTTCAGACGAGCATTTAAGTCAACAGGAGGTATTTCACGTTCTGATCGAGGAGGTTCTGCTATGTCTTTCAGCTGCAAAAAGAAACAACCAAAATTACTTTGTATGGATGGTCTTTGAAGGACATAACTCAGAAGATAGTGCTTTTCTTACAGCCTGATTTATCTTCTTAGTGAGGTCTCCAGCATTAGCACCATCCACCCGCTGCACTGCAGCACCTTTACGGATTAACACAAAAGTTGGCACAGCTGTGATGTTGTACTTCAGGGAAACATCTGGTATTTCTTCTGCTAAACATTTTGCAAATTTAACAGCCTGTAAGAAGAATTTAAGGCATTGGAGAATTGCTACGTGCAAAATATTTCACATCGTTAATAAATGAGAAATAATTACCCTGTATTCGATTTGATTGGATAATTCTTCCATAACTTCATTCATCTGTACACATTGAGGTGCCCATTCAGCATAGAAATGGACCACTGAGAGAGAATTAGTGCTGCAACAAAACAACAGAGATTGATATCACTGATCACAACCGAGATAAGTTTGAGATTACTATGCCCCAGAAAAGTGACAGTCAGAATCAGCTCTATGACAGATTTTTCAAAAGAATCTCTGGATGATGGAAAGTGAAATTGATAAATATCATCTTATTTATATAAAAATAAATCTAAAATGAATATGGGCAAGGTTATGGAGAGGGAGCATGACGCTAGAAATCTTCTGAACTTACTTGACATATTCTTCGAACTCAAGCTTGTTTGAAAGCTCCGATAGCACCATTTTCAAAACAGATATGCGCTAAGATAACACTTCTATATTCGACTTTAAATAAGCTATATAGAACTCAATCGGCTTTAAAATCTGCAATGAATCTGCGGAGGGAGACTGCAAGAACCACGAACCTCCCTTGAATGACTGGTATGAAAAATTAAGCATAAAGAAGCAAACAACAACAGTAGATAATCAAAATTATGTTTCGTCTCTTCTCGTAAAGTTGAGGGGTTATATCTTTTTCTATGAAGTTTCTACTCTGTATTTTTTAGCACTGTTTGGGCTTTAACTCCACGTATCACTGAAAATGTCCAATCACTGAGAGATTTAAGTATCCTGTTCTGAGTGACTTTTGCGCGCCCCCAAATGTGGGATTGATACTTGTCGTCTGTTGAGGAAAAAGCAAAAGCAAAACAAACTCCAACAAAACCCAAACAAAGCTACGATGCTGCACTAGGTGATGGAAATTCAAAGGCCCGAACATCTATGCTTTCAAAAAGTTTTCTTTCACCGAAGGTTTGTAGTTTATTTGGACTAGCTCCCATGAAACTACTATATTTGTTTCTAATTGGTTTCCGTTCGGCAAGGTTAAGGTGATTGAGGGTATCAAATGAAATGATTCTTCTTTTCAATATTATCTATAACTTGTGTGTTATTCTCGTGCTTTTGTAGATTTTTGAGCTGACACTTTATCCGTGTTCGGTTTTTCTCATTTTGTTGCCGTTTCAGGTTCTCTCAATCTGCCCCGGAAATTTGTTGAAAGGTTATGGTCAATCACTACATATGAGCAAATCAGACTAAATAATGGCCCGTCGGCGGCGAAACTGCAAGCAGCGTAAACCTGCAGCTGCAGCCAACACAGCTAAACAGGAGCTAACAAAAGAAGTCGAACCTGACAAACCCAAAGTGAAGAATGAGGTAACATTTTTGCCTTACTGTTGAATTAAAAATCCAAACCTCCTGTGTGCCTCTGATTGGTTCTTAATTCTTATGGTCGCATGATCCTCATGTGTGTTTTTTATGTTACAGAGAGCTGAAGTTCAAACTGCAGCAAAAACTGTGAATGTTTCTCCGAGGAAACCTTCTAGGTCATCAAGTGTAGGTTTCTTGCTTGTCGCACTACCTTCTCAATAAAACCTATGATGCTTTTCTTTAATACCTCATTATGTTCACAGAATTTAAGTGGTGCTAGTACATCCTGGAGTTCTCCGGAAAGTGTTCCTAAGGGAAAGAGAAAAGCAGACAGCCATAATGACAGAGGTGTAACACCAACCAAGCGGAAATCTGACATAGTTGCAGAAGTCGTAGTCAAACAGGAGAAAAATGATTCAGTTGATCATCCTCTCAGGCTAGGAGAAGCACACAATAACATTGTATGTATACTGTTTCCTTTATTAATCTGATAAGTTTTGTACAAAAAACGTATCAACTTTCATGAAGCAATTTCATTTCATATTCAACCTTGAAATTCCAGATAACTAGTATCAAAGATGAAGAAGTTGATTGTGGTGTGGATAATCTGGAAGCAGAGGCAGGTGGTGCAGAAAGTTTAGTGAGTAGAAATAATAAAAATGAAGCTTTTAGTAATGAGTCAAGGGTTGTATGTAATGTAACTTCAATTTTCAGGTAGCTATAGTTGAGCAAGCCTCATATCCGGATGTTCAATCACGGGAAGGAGAAAATTTAGTGAGTGACATTATTATTATTATTAATAAAATCCTTTCATACACAGAGTACCAAGTTGCAATGACAATGCTTATTTTCAGGTTGCTTCTGTAGGGTCCATTCCTTCTCTCATAGCAGAGTGGGAGAAATCTTTTAATGCAGTTCTGCCAGATCCTTGGATGTGCAAATCAACCCATGATGGATTTGACTTTATGTATTTGTCGAGTGGTAGACATAAAGCTATTCAAAGGCAGCTTTTCATCTCATTTCAAGGAGAACTTGAAATAAGTATTCATAGACATGTTTTGCCTCCTTCTGATGTCAATGAGCTCCTGAAGGGATTCAAACTGCCTGCTATCCTTGTTGTGGAGCAATCCTTCAACGACTTTTTAGGACGTGTTTTAATAATAATCCGTATCCTGTCAAATCTGGGAGTGTGTAGAGGAGCTGACCACAGTAACATGCACCAAGGATTGTGGCTCCAAGAAAAAAATGGAGTGTTCGATAATAATCCATACGCAGAGACCAGTTACAGTCTCACATTCCGGTCAACAAAATGCAAACGTCTTGTTCCTTTAAATGTATGGGTTTGTGAGGAATGTGTGAGACTTGCAGTAGCATTTTCAAAGAAGCAAGGTAGTTCTCCCAAATTACCTACAGTATTCCCAATGGTACCAAGTTCCGGTCCTCCAATGTCAGGGCACAATGATGTATTGCCCTCTTCAGACAGTTGTGCAATGAAAGAAGAAATGGTGCACTGTTCTTCAAAGCCATCTTTAATGCTGACAAATCCTTCAAATTCTGCATCACCTATGATGTCCAACCACCAAGTTGAAAGTCAGGCCCAGGTTGTATCGAAGAATTCATCACCAGTTTGCACTGACTTGTCAGTCAAAATTGTAAGTGCCTACCCATCTATCAAAAACATCAAACCAAACCAGTTAATGGCTGGCAATGTGGTCAGGTGTTTCTTACCTCTAGGAAAGGAAGTTCCTAAACCTCCTAAGACCTATTCATATAAAGATGTGAATGCACCCCTTGATTTGGCTATGCAAAATCAGAAGATTGTGCAAAGTGTTTTGGAAAAAAGATGTGTAAAAATTAAGTTACTATTGGAAAAATGTGCAGTGCCAATAGACAATAAACTGTCAAAAGATCTTTTGGATATTCTGGAGGACTTGAAGAATCCCACTTCTGTTCAACAACAATTCATCGACATGCAGGAGGAGCTTGCTGCTCAGAAGAGAGCTACTGGGATGAAGTGGTATCCAACTCTAATTAGATATGCTCTTTTTATGAGGTCAACTAGTCAACTTGGGTCGGGTATGATTACCCTACCGTCTGGTAAAGCATTATTTAATTTCTCGCAAGTATTGTTCAAGATCAAGAACTCTTTCCAGAAAGCTGATGTCTCATGTTTCCGGGATAAGCCCTACTTAAAGAACTGCAACTTGATTGGGAGCCATAATATTGTATTAATTGATGAAATTAATGTCATTGATAATCTTGTGTACCAGAAATCAAACAGTGAACTTATTGGGTTTGTGAAATTAAGTGATGTTAAGTGTGAAATGGACAAAATTGAAGAGTTTATTGTTGCAGATAAATGTTTAGATCATAGGCCTATTCCATCCTATACAATGCTTGCATACATGGTGAAAGGCATAAATAATAATTTGAGGGAAGTTGTAGGTTTGCTAGATGCTGAAGATGACTCCCCTCAGAAGGTCTATGATGCAACATGGGATGTCATTAGTACATTAGAACAAAATGCTTTTAAAGTGGTAGGAGTGGTAACAAATGGCTCATTGAAAACCAAGAATTTTATTGACTTGCATTCTGGCCTCATGCTTGATTCTGGACAAGTATATGCCACTAAAAACATTGCTGCTAAAGATAGACTGATTTACTTTTTCACAGATATGTGGTATCTATTGAGACAGATTCGTAACTGTTTTGAGGAATCCGGTTCTAATGGGGTAAACCAAAGAATTCTCACCAAAAATAAGGAAAAAATTGTCTGGAAGACAATTGAAAAACTCTACCTAGCACGGAAATGGCAACGTCCTATGCTAATGCTTGATAACTTAGATATCTATCTTGATGAACACTCCCGTAAAATACCATCTCATGCTTCTGCTGTGTTTTGTACTGCTGTTGTAAACTTTTTGCGAAAATTTTGTTCGTATACGCCAGAAACAGTTACTTTCATTTCGAAAGTCTGTGACACCTTTAGCTGTCTTCTTAAAACAGTTCAAGCTGAAGAACCTCTGAAACCTTACACAAGTCCTAATGATTCTCGGTTTTCTTCAATGCTAGGATTATTAGACTACCTCAGTGAGTGGAAAGCAGAGGTACAGGACATTCCGTATATATCTGAAGACGATAAGTCTAAGTTGCTTTTAGATGAAACTATTTGTCTCCAAACAGAAATGTCAGTGAGAGCTTTCATTGATTGTGCTTTATTTCTCCTGAAAGAAGGAGTCAAGGAGGTAGACGCTAACACCTTTTGGCTAGAACCCTTGGAAACTTATTTGCAATTTGGCTGGTTTGGTTTCTTACCATCATCTAATTCTCACAATATGAATTATGTAAATAAGAAAGTGGACCTGACTATTGGTACAAAACTGTTAGCCGCTAAAAAGGTTAAAAAGCCATTTCCTTTAAAAGCAGTTAAGTAAGTTGCTTTGTACCCTGTTTTTGTGATGTGAAGTGAAGTTAATCCTTCTTAACCCAACCTTATTTATTAATTGACAGAAAATGGACTGTTTGTGCCATATCTCAGCCATTATGCACCAACTGAACTGCATCATTGTTTTTTTGTTTGTTTCTTGTAGTCTTCTCTGCTAATTTTGTGTTTGTTTGTGCTGGAGATACCTCTTTCGCACATAAACATTTTTTTTTTAATGTTGTAATGTGTCTTGAAAAGAATTTCAAAAAAAATAAAATGATAAATGCCCTGTTCATGTTTGTGGATCTTAGTTCATTCGTTCCCGTTTGACCCATTGGCCGATCAAATACATTCGAATACTAGAAACGCATTTGTCAATAAGCGTGCTGACACTGGAACGCACAGCACCGCCCGGCACTGAGCGCGGCACACAGCACACGGCTCGCAGCGCGTAGCGCCCGCCGAGTCGAGGCTAGGCCTGCCCGCCGCGCGTGCCTGCGGGCCGGGCTGCCTACCCTCGACCTGGCGGGCGCTTTCAGCTCGGGCTGCTTCGGCTTCGGCCCAGCTCAGCTCACATGCGGCTGCGGCGTGGCGCGGCGCGGCCACAGCGGCACCCGAAGCGACTAGCCCGCATCGATTTTCGAAAATTGCATAGTGGGCAGGCCAGGCACCGCGGTCGGTTCGGCGGGCTCTCTTCGCTTTCGCAGCTCTGAGAGATGTGCCAGGGTTGGTTGAGCGAGTCTTCGCCATCCTACCGGCACTTCGTCGGACCAGAAAAATAAGAGATGGAATTGGCGACTTGTGTGTTTCAGACAGTTAGACAGACAAGATTAAGGACAGCGTGTTGGGGAGGAGAGGGGAGTAGTTTGGTCCGTAATTAACAAAATTAACGAAAACCTGCCCATAATGGCGAAGGGAGTCCTGGGAAACTCTCGTCCCGCGACTGCCGTCGACGCCGTCACGGCCACGATGCCGTCTTACCTGCGGCCTTTCCACGAACCGCTCCCCCCACCCCTCCCCCTCTTTGCGGCCCTGTACCGCGCCCCCCGCGCGCGCTTTCCGAATGACAGACCAGCTTCAAACAGATCGCTCCGAATCGCCAGCTCAGCTGAGCTTGTCGAGCTTGTTGGGAACGGGGGGGCCAAGGGGTGGCAAAGGTAGGGTTGCCACACCTGATGTTCACGGCCGCGTGCGGCCAGCCCCGGCCCGAGCCTCGGGGCCAGAACAGCAGGGGCCGTCCGAGAGCCAGGTGGCACCCCTAGGCACCCCGTCCCGTGTGCTCGTGGCTCCGGGACGGGCCCTGTGGTGGGGAGGGCCGGGTAGGGCCGCTCCGCGGGGTTATTTTGGCACACAGGTCAGGACTGGGGCGCCGGGCGCCTCGAGCAGGGCATGGCCCGGCCAGCCCGCCAGCCCGCCAGGCCGGGGCGGTGTCACTCAACGCCTCCAACGAATCCTCCAATTTTATCCCTGCGGCCGGGCCGAGCGGGGTGGCCGGGACGGCCGGGACCGGGGCGCAGGCTGGGACGGGGCCACAGCACCGGCCTGGTCAGGCCTGGTCCGGTTGGCGCGTGCGGCGCCATCGGCACGGAGGCAACACGACCCAAAGAGTAAACCGAAGCAGATACAAAAACATTTTAAAAAGAAACATCCGCATATTTTGAGGCATTCGCATAGAAAATCAAGAAATGGGGCCTTTTCCACACGCAGAGGCTTGCTGCAACTAACTTCAGTTTGGGGACACGTTCCCCCCACTGGAAAACCGCAAAGGCATTGGGCGGGCAAACAAAACCGAACACTGAAAAAAAAGTCTAGTTACAGCAACTAGGATTTTGGTGCCAATTACCAGACAGTCTAATTGAATAGGAACCAACAAGGAATCTAGTTACAAATACCAGACTGCCTAGTTGGTCTCTGTCTAGTAAAAATAACCAGATTCTTGGTAAACCTTACCATGCCATCAGACCCCCAATCTAGTAAAATTAACTAAATTTCTAGTAAAAATTTTGAGTTGAGACAAGACAAAGCAGAAGAAGAAAATGGAATTTCTCAACTCTACGCCCCCACATGTACGCTGGGAGGTCGTAAAGCTGGGAAGAATTATTTTCCGGTTTGCTTCTGGCCGGGATCGAACCACCCATCTTCCCCATACGAGCCAAGCTCGTTACCACTGCGCTATCACGCCACATGGGAGGGCCGAGTGTCCCCGCCCGGTGACTCTGCGCATCGTTTTGTCGCTCATCTAAGGCAGCTAAAGGAGTGGCATTTCCTGCTACTAAACGGTGCTTTGGAGATTGCAGGGAACCGAAGGGATTCAATACGCATTGTTAAAATTTAGTCTCTTGCAATTTTAAATTTGAGGACAATTACTAAGCAGTATAGTTAAATTTACTAGGAATATTAACTAGACGTCTGGTAAATGTTACCATACCCATGCTAGTAGATATAACTGAAAATCTAGTGAAAAATACAAGGTTTTTAGTTATTATTACCGGTGCTCGTTTAACTAGGAACCGTCTGGTACTTTTAACTAGACTTTTTTTTCAGTGAAATAACGAAGGGTGGCGCGATGACTTTGGGCCAGCCTCGCGGCGCTGTCTGCGCCGTGCGCGTTGCGGCGGCGCGGACCTCGGGCACCCCCTCCGTGCCTCCGTGCCTCCGCCTCCAGCGCGGCCTCGTCCGCGTCCTCGTGGGGCGCACAGCGCCGCGCAGCCCTCCGGCCGCGAGTCCCGAGTCCCGGCACAGGCACACCAGTTGCGCGACGCAGCCTGCCCCGTTCACATCCCTGCCTAGTGCCTAGTGCTCCGCGACGCCCCGGCCACGCTGCGGCCACGCTGCCCGACGCCTCGGCGCGCTCCGGCGCCCGGCTCGGCCGCGACCCCCTCGAGGGCATGGTGCCCATGGTGCCCATGGCGGCGTAGCGCGGACGGTGCGACCAACAGTGCGGCTGGAAGACGAACAAAAAAGTGGAAAGAATTTTAATTTTCATTCGCGGCAGTGTGTGAGTGAGCCGCAGCGGCAGCCACGCCGAGCAGGGCTGCAGAGCGAAAGGTAAGCGAAGCACACAGCCCGGTGCAGCCCTCTTCGCTTTTGTCGGCCCTCCACTGCCCCCCTCTGGCATTTATCACTCGTTGTCGATCTGGCCGAGGCTCTGCAGCGCTTTTCAGTGCGACGCAGTGCTTTGCAGCCGAGCCCCCCGAGCCTTTTGCAGGCCGTTAGCCCCCTCTGTCCAGTAATGGGCCGCCGAGGCCGAGGCCCACCGATTCCGCGCAGCGATTGGTCGCTGTCCCTCTCGCACCCCCGCGGCCCGCGGGACGGCCCAGCAGAGCGAGGGGGACAGGGCGACGACAGGGCGACGGCGGAGGCAGCCTGCAGCACCCTTATTGCTCGCATGCTTGGCTGGAGCCGCCATTGTCTTCCGAGTTTGACGCGGCGCGGCGTGGCGTGGCTTCACAGTGGCGCGGCTTGGCTTACAGTGGCGTGGCGGGGTGTCGATATTCGCCGTTTGCCATTCGCCCCGCGCGACGCCCGGCGGCTCAGTTCCTTTCAAAAGCAGTGCGGGGGCGGCGCAAAAAAAAAAAGAAGAGTTGAAAAAGGAAAGAGAGAGGAAAAAGAGTCACTGAACGGGAACCATCCACTCACCGCTCGCGAAAACTGAGGCAGCGAATAAAACTCGCGGGGGAAACAACAACAGCGGCGGGAGGGGGATGGACTGGATGAACTGCCGCCTACGCGTATATATCGCGGAAACAATAAAACTGCCTGCCTGAGTTAGTGCGGCCCGCGGCACGCCGATGTACCAGGTGGGGGCCAGGTGTCTGCCGCTACCCGCCGCGAGCCGCGGAGTCGGGTGTCCGAGGGCGACAGGGAAAGAGAGACGAGAGAGTCAGCGCCACTTGGGCTTTTCTCGCGGGGGCGACTACGGTGAACACGGTGGCTGCAGCCCGAAGAGGGCCGCCACGTCTATTCCGCCCCGAGCTGCGCGTCGGAGTGTGAGGGAGGGAGGGAGAGTGAGAGAGAGGGAAAGTAAGCAAGTCGGAGAGCGAGAGAGCGAGTGGATGTGCGCGCCATCACCTTGAAGAAGGCACCTTTGCCGACCCGACCTGTGCATCTTTTATCACGAACCGCCGACACGTCTTTGTTTTTCGCGCGCTCCCCTCGTCTCGTCCTGTCTCTCTTTGAACCCCTCTCCGTCCCTCCGTCTCTCTCCCGGCCCGACGAGTAGGGCATCCAGGACTACGCGCCGCTGCGGTGAGCGCGTCGGGTACTAGTCGCCTCCCCCAGTGTGCCTGCGCCGCCTCACGCCACCGCCTGCGCGTGTGCTCGCTGAATAAAATAGCGGATAGCGCGCTGCGTGCGGCTGGCTTCTGGCTTGGCTTCTGGCTTCGCTTCTGGCTCGGCTTCTGGCTCGCACTGCGTTTGGTGGTTTGGCAGCCGCCATTCCCCATTCGGCAGGTTCGGCTGGCTGCCTCTGGCTTCCAGCTTTTCAAAATTGGTCCCCGCGCCGCCGCCTTCCCTGTAATTATTTAATCAAGGGCGGTGGCCATTGGCGGTGGCCGTGGCAGTGGCCGTGGGGCGGCGGGGCCGGCGGGGCCGCGCCCAGGAATCTTTATTTCCGGTCGGCCCGTGGATTCAATTTGGCCCCGGCTCCTTTTCATTCGGTCCAGTCCTTCCTCCGAGGCGCGCGCCGCTGTCCAGGGGAGAACGACAAGGACGTCGAAATCACGTCCAAAAATGCCGTTTTCACGTTTCATTTGACCTCGGAAAGACACCTGCAGGTCAGAGTCCTGCTTTTCGTTGATTTGACTTTCGTATGTTCGGCGAAGATGAACTTGCCAATATCGAAGTAGTTATACGAATGGCGACTTTTTACCGCTCTTTTCTTTGTTCTGTTTGATCAAAACGAACTTTTGAGTCCGAGACGAAACCTTGGCTTGGACTGTTGTCTCCGGCAGTTTGTTATTCTCGTCCTCGAGGGGTGCAAAGGCGTGGGCCGGAGTGACACGGCGACAGGAACTACTCCACTGCAGTCGAGTGTGGTGCAAGAAGGGGAGGCAGGGGCAGGGCCGGGCCAGCACGGGGCACACGGGGTCTTCTTCTCCGCCATCGTTACAAAGCTCCAGCGGAGCGCGAAGGAATCGCCATTCGGGCCGGACAACGCCGTGAATGGCCAGGCGCGCTGCGAGAAGGGGAAGGGGTGGGGGGAGGGGGGCGAGAGGCGAGGGCGGCATGCCCCAATCTCCACCTGTGCGCAGCGCGCCTCACCTGCGACGCTCCGCCGCGCTCCGCTGGAAACGG